GCTTTCCTTGGTTTTGTATCTTGGGTAGTTATTTAAGGTGGCTTAGTAGATGCTCTTTGGTTTTGGTAAGTTATGTTATGTGTTTCTTAGCTTTTTGCTTCTTCTTTTTTCATCCTTTTGTTTTCCTTCTTTGTTATTTTTATTGTCTTTGTTGCTAGTTTAGAATGGCATCTTGTCATTTGTGTTTTCAATTGGATTTTTAGCTTTTCTTTGTGTCTTTATTCTTATTTTTTCCTATGTTTTTTACATTGCACACCGCTATTTTAGTTCTTTGTTTATTTTTATATATAGTGGTTGTGAGAGGCTTTCCCAAACATGTTTCACTCCATTCTCACTTGGTTTGTTGCCTTCATTTTTATGACTGATTTGTTATTGTTTGATTTTTTTGCTATTGAGGACAACCTATTTCATGGTAGTTTTTGCTTCCATTTGTTTGTTTAGTTTGCTTTGATTACAAGTCTTTGTAGGAGTTTTTTTTTGTTTTATCTTCCAATCATTTGTTGTGAGTACTGCTTTTAGGACACTTTATTAGTATTATGAGCTAGTATGTAACAAAGGGGGAAAAAAGAAAAAAGAGGGTTTTAGGTTGAAAATATAAGTGTTATGAGCTAGTAAGTAGCAAAGGGGGGAAAAGAAGGAAAAAAAAAGAAAGAAGGGAAAGGAAAAGGTAAAACAAGGTAAAAAACAAAGAGAGAAAACTAAAGTAGAGAGAGAAAACCATAAAAAAATATCATCAACAGCACACCATCATTTTTTTCACTATAAAACCTCTTCCCTCATCTTAAATCAGCCCTAACATAAGTCAAATTCATATTTTCTTCTTTTGTAGTGGGGTTTTTGTATCGTTTTTACTAGTTACAAATGAAAATAATATACATTACACCATCCATGCATTATTACTATTCATCCATACATTTTTATTTTATTTTATTTTTGTCCATTTTGCAATTATATTAGTTTCATTTTGTAAAAGTGTGTTCTTGTCTTTTTGCATATGCATATTTATGTAAAAATTAATCTTAAGAAAGGTTACTATTCAACAATGCATTTTTATTTTTATTTTATTTGCTTTGTGTCAATGTTATTTGCATTTTGTGAAACTTTACTTTTGCCTTTTTTTCATATGTATATATGTGTAAATATTTATTTTTGAAAAAAAACAAAAACAATATCAACTAGTTTTTATAAAGTTAGTGTCATGTTTTTATTAAGCTTGAGTTTTAACAACTAGGTTGATGTGTCTTTTATTTTTTAGGGACCGATATAGACTTAACACGATATTTTTAACCTCAAAACGAGTTTAATAATGAGTCAATATGTTTTTATCAAGTTAGCGTCATATTTTAAAAACTTGAATTTTTAATATTAGGTTGATGTGTCTCCTAGTTTTAAAAATTGAGTAGGCCTAGAGTGATATTTTCAAACAAAAACAAGGTCAATAATAATCATGTAGTATCCTTATAATAGGAACATATATTGGATGAGCATAGTATTTTGTTTAATTTTTGTTAAAAAATAATATTAAAAAATTCAAGAAATATATATAAATATATAAAAAACTAAAAAAATCATCGAGATATGAGATTTTTGATTGAGCACTTGACTCTAGTTCATCAAACATCCCTCAATAGTAAATGTCTTGTTAATAATCTCATAAATAATTTAGAAAATTGATGGCATGTATAAAATAAGTTTTTTTAAAAAATAAAGTTAAGGTAATTTTTTCTCATAAACGGATACAAGTAAAAGCAATTTTTATATTTTTAAATATAACTACCTGCTTATCTAGATTTTTGAAATAAACATATATATTTTAGAATTTTTTGTCTTTTTTAAAAAATAAATAATAATCTTATGTTTTATATTTTTTTTAATATTTAAATTTTTTATTTTTATATCAAGTATGACAACTAATATAAAAAAATAAAAATTTAGAGCATCAATAATTTAAATTAAAATGTCATCTTTTATGCGTTCTTCATTACGCAACATCTACCCATGTGAACAGAGAGAAGAATATGCAAGACTTTCTTCTTCTTCGTCTTCTTTTCGAATTAGTTTAAGCTCATTCATCGAGTAGATTTTACAACAGAAATGATTTGCATTAATTTTCAAATTCAATAAGGACCGGAAAGAGCATTTCCCATGTTCAGAGTTCAGACAAGATTTTTCTATGTTTAATTTTTCATTAATTTTATGCTATATATGAAGTAGGGTCACGTTGAAAATAGTTTCTAATGGCATAGGCCCCTGCCCTTTATTAGAGAAATAGGATGGAAGTGGAGAGTGGTTGAAGGACAAGCACCAAGTTAGAGTTTCGCACGCCGGATAAACATCACCTAAACATAATAATTTTCTTGTGAGGTATAACTTTAAAATAGTACAATAAAAATAATTTTTATTATATTTAAGATTATTCTAATAAAAAAAATTTGTTTTACTAACAAAAATAAAACAAATTTATCCAATTCTTTACACAGTAGTTAAGTTAAGTTGATATAGTTTAATATAAAAAATAATTATTATATTATAATTTTAAAACTTGACTATGAAATCAATCTAGATAAAAATTTAAATCAAGAATCAAGTTAAACATTGACTAAGATCAATGTAATAATAAAAATAATTATTATCATAATTTTAAAATCAGATTCGAAGATCAACCTAGGGCTAGCTATGAATTGAACCACTGATCTAGTTTAATATAAAAATAAAAAATATTATTATTATAATTTTAAAACCCAACTAGGATGTCAACTCTCAACAATACATTGTGTTTCTTTTTTCTTTTTTGTTTTTTTTTTTCATTTTTAAAGAGTATTTATAGGATTTTGCTAGGGTTTTTAATGTATTCAAACATATACTGATCAAAGCATAACCCTTTGATTAAAATGAGAGTTTTCTACGAATGTTAATAATTAAAATCTTTGTCCTTTAATATTTTTGGGATGCTGATTGTGTAATAAATTTGTCTAGGTGATTTTGTTTTGTTAAAAAATAAATACATGCATCCCTCACCTTTTGATTTAATTGAAAGATTTATGACCCTAGATAATAACCCTTTGAAAATTTTTAAATGTGAATATACAAAAATTAAGTGATTTTGCATAAATAAGTGTCTTAGTAAAGGCTTCATCGGAGCAAAATATTAATAGAGATCACTTGAAATTGATAAAGGAGAAGCATACCTTTCGATTGAATCCAGACAACTTGAAATTGGTAGAGGAGAAGCATACCTTTTGATCGGATCCATTCTTGTTCAATTTGAAAGTTTGTAGCTAACTCAATTAGTAAAAAATATAAAAATATAATGATGGCTGATCATGGACAAAATATTGTAAAGTTTATTGAAGAAAATGAGATATAAATGTTTGATAGGAGTAGCTAATCTTTGTAGAAGGGATATTTCTTAGTTGAATTGTGGTAATTATAGTCCCAAAGATGATCGAAGATGCCATATTCATTTGCCTAAAGTTGCTTACTCAATTAGCTAAAACTGTCAATAATAAACTAAATAGTGGTCAAATGATAATTTGTCTAGGTTAAACCCTAGAAATTAAGGTTTTTTAATTTGAGATTTGATAAATTTCACTTTATTCCTTGTTCTTTCAATTGTTTTAATTACACCTGTGATTTCATTTAAAACTTTTAATTTCATGCAATTTTACCCCTCCCAATTTAATCATCATCCCTAAAGTTCAGCATCATTTTCATCCTAATCCTTGGTTTCTTATTTGTGTTTTTAGACCTTTAATTGACCATCAAATTTTTAATTTTATTTAATTTGACCATGATTTTTATGTATATCCTCTAGTATTTTGAATTTTTTTAATTTTTTCTTAATTTTTAATGGAGTTAAAAGTAAATAACAACATTGTGTCTTAAAGTGTGACCCAGACACTTGGGGAAACCCCAATTCACCTTTTTTGTTAATTAAAAATCTTTTAAAGCGATGTCACTACAATGTTTTCTTTTAAAAAAGTATTGGGATGATGATTTTTTGATGGACCTAGATCAAACTAGATTAAATTTTCTAACTTATAATTTAGATCATAACTTTATTTGTGATTAATAACTTTATTTTTAAAATTTATTTTTTTATTTAATTGAATGATTAACAATCATAAAATATATATATATGAATATGAGAGTGAGTTTTAATCAAGATTTAAATAAGAAAAATAATGCAAATTAAAAAAATACATTAAAATTAAAAAAGAAGAGTTTCACAAAATTTTTAGAAGAAAAACTAAAAAAATAATATGAACTAAAAAAAATACATTAAAATTATAAAAAAAATTGTATTAAATTTGTAAAGAAAAAGGAAAAATATCATTATCAAACTTAACTATTCTCTTAATCTGGCTAGAAACCCAAGTCCATGCATGTTTAGGTACCTGGGCTTGAATACCCAATTCTACATGTTTTTTTTTTTTCCTTCTTAGAAATGGATGATATGGCAATATATCATTCATAAACCCGGAAAATAGAGGAATCAAGCAATAACATTGTTGTTCCTCGTTTTCTTTTCTCGCCTTCTTCTAGCTTCGAGTAGAAGGACTTCTTCTCCAGTATAGCAATAAGCTCACCATCCTCTTTGGATGTTTATAATTCTTAACATGGGTCACATTTAATACTCTTAAAGGTGATACTACGCGTAGGTTTGTATCCCCTTCAAGGCTGACTTTATACCTTTTAACCCAATGCCACTTTTAACAGTGGATCCACACATCGACTACTATTGTTTTGATGCACTGAATTCCATCTGGACCTGTTAACTGCCAAGAACATTTACTATTGTTTTGAAGCACTGAATTCCATCTGGACCAGTTAACTGCCATGAACATCTATTTTCCAAGCAATCAATTTGAAGATGAAAACTCATGCACAGCTGTAACTGACACTAATTTTTTAAGATACCAGCAATTGATTTAAAATTTATTCTTTCAAGGGCTCACAAGATTTTGCATGCAAATGGAATGGACGATATCAAAGAAATGCGACGAGTCCTTTGCTAAGAAACTTCACTGGTCAAGAATTGTAGAAATATACAAAATCAAAGAATGATTAAAGAACCAGATGTAGGTTATTAACTATTTCCCACGCCTATCAACAGCTAACAAAGCAAGCGCTTGTATTTTTAACGAGGAAAAAGTAAACAAAAGCATTTTGATGTTACATGGATCAAATTGAACACATTAGAGGAAAATGTCTAACCTTTTGTACAGCTTCCTTTCTCTATCCCTCTTGATGTCAGAAAATCTGTATAAACTAAAACCAACTACAATCTGGGGGGCAAAAAGGAAATTCCGACTGCCGGCATGAATGGCATGGGTAAATTACTCAGTTTTTCATTGCGAGCATCTGAATACACAAACTCCACCTAGTCACCTGCCAACCCAAAAAGGCAAATTCAGAAGTTTCACAGCATTTGCATCGAAGGATCACTTAGACATCTCATCTTCAGCCCCACTAGAATGGTGAAGGTCCTCGTCTATAGCAACCGTCTGTAGTCTTCCAAGGCCATGCTCATCCTCGAACCTCTCCATCCTTGAATTGTTTCCCCTTGAATTTGAAATAGCCTGAAACCATTGTTTAATATAAGTAATAGAGGAATAAACAACACAGTTTAAAAAATGAAAATTCGTGGATGATTCCATATCACTACCCCCAAATCTCTCTGTTCAATTGTAGCAGCAACAGCTCTTTTCCTCACATATTGAAATTCATGCTTGGAATGATATCTCTCGATTGAGTTTAAGGGGGAGATTTGTTGAAGTAAACTCAATCCAGAAGGTTAAGGTTTGAGGGGATAGGAAAATGTTCAATCTCGTCACCTGATCTTCCCTCTCTGGCTCTCTTCTTTCTTAAACTAATCTTTGTGGGAAGAGGCTGCATCATAAAAATAGTTTAAAGTCACAGTAATCAATGTAGAATTTGTGCACTGAGAAAATGTGTGCGATGATGATGGAGTACACTGAGAGCAAGTGTGATAGAGATGGTTGATACCAAATAGCGAGCTTCAGCTTCATCAAATGAAACAAGGAACGTTGAAGGGTCATTGGCATCATCCCCCCGTATCTGATTGAGGTGTGATTAAGAAAAGTTGTGTTCAGCGGTTATAAAGAAGCTTGCTAAGTAACATTAACAACTAGAGACACTTACTTACATCCCAATGATACTCACGAATCCAAGAATATAAGATATCCTCATTTTCATCATACATATCCTTTGACAGCTGTTAGCATAACACAACATAAAAATAATGACAACAGTGTAGTATGAAAACAACCATTCATTGGAATTTTGAAACATAAGGAGAAATCCAAATCTTAAGTGCTGATATGCATGTAGAGCATTTGAAATTCTGGATAAAAACCAATCTTACCTCATCTGGAGAAGGTACTGTGTATGCCAAAAACTTCTCTGGGTTAGCCGGATCTGAACCTGATGCCACACAAGCTTTCATAATAGCCTGTAATAAAAAATCAAGAACCCACTCAACAAAGTGCATCATTAAGTGTTTAGTTTTCAGGACTATCCATGCCAAATTCCATGGGCTAAAGATAAGTTATAGTTTAGAAAAAATTTCTAATTTGTTTCCAGACATACACTTTTCATTAACACAGAATTTATTGTCTTGCGTTCACTGCATTCTATTACTTGCTTTTGATTGTAGTCCTGCAGCTTTCTATTTCCAAGTTGAATATTTCTTTAGGTGCTTATTTCTCAATTACTGGTCCTAGTCATTAAATGATGCATGAAAATAAACCTGCAAGTATGTTGCCACTTATATTTCTGATTTTCAATTTGCCTACACATTCACCTAATTTATCTGAATAGGCACCACAAATATTCTAATTCGACTCTCATCTGCCTGCTCCCATGCAATACATCCACTCAAAGAACTAACCCGTGATTCATAGGCATCACGGTCAGATGGATCGAACTTGCTGTAATTTTCTGCATCAGCTGTAGGACACCATCAAATGCTACTGTGACAAATTTATCTCCATACCTGGTACAACGTCATAAAGCTGTGAAAGTTAAAGATTTGGAAGTGAAAAATGCTGGAATGCAAAATGATCATCCACTGTTTTGAAAGTTCCAAAATTTGGCCAGTAACCAGCAATTCTAATTCTTTTCATTCGAGAAATGACACTCTTGACATTCCACACGTTGTCCTTAGTTATATATTACAAGTGAAAATGCTGGGATGCAATATGATCATCCACTGTTTTACAAGTTCCAAAATTTGGTCAGTCATCAGCAATTCTAATTCTTTACATTTCAGAAATGACACTCCCCTTCCATCCCACACAGTGTCCTTATTTCTATATTGGTTGCTCCAAAATGCATATGGAGTCAAAAAATTAATTCCTTAATGTTACTGCATCCTTTACTAATAAATAATATTCTTCATAATTGTTAAATAACAGAGTAGGAGTTGTGGCATGGAGGGGGGTGTAACATAATAGTTGAAGCATAAGAAAGCAATATATGCTAATATATCATTCTATGCATACATGTATTCATGTGTAACATATGTTTCTAAGAAACACAAAAAAAAAATTAAAAAAATTAAGCAGCATAGCTTTTTTCCCTGACCAAGAACGAGGAGGAAAAGAAGGAAATCTACTAGCCAAACTAGCAATCATTGAAGACCTTTACTTCACTCTTACATGGTAAATTAATAGGAAGAGACACTCTGCAAGGCGAGATTCTATTTTCATCCTTTGTAGCACAATATAAAAAGCAACAAATAACACCATACCGATCAAAATCAGGTAGCAGAGGCAAAATCTCGACTGGCTTTAAGTTTTTATTAGTTGCATGCACATGGGGTAACTTGTTTGAGGCAAACGATGCTGGAATTTCCTGGATTTGTCTTTCCCTGAAAATATTACTAATGCTTTCAGAAAGTAAAGCAAAAGGGTTATATAATTTCTTCTTCTCTTCCGACATTTTCTTCACATAGGCAAGGTAGAAAAAACAAACCTTTTATTGAGATTGTCCAAAAGCTTGCAGCCTCCCTTCATCTCTCTCATTTCTTTAGCTTGTTTTTTAGTCAGAGACTGAAAATTCAAATGTCTCTAATACGATACAGCTTTCAGCAATTTGTGAAGCAAATAAAAAGCAATGAACTGCATGAAAGGCATACCAGTTTAGCTGACTCCATGCTAAGAGGAGATATATAGTGTGTCTTAACTAGCCAAGAAACACCTTTATCTGTTGGCCTTTCTTTTCTTTTTATGCCGTCTCTCTTTACAGGGGTGACTGACTCATCATCATGCAACAATTCCTCATCTTCAGGAGCAAGAAGTTGTCTAACACTAGGAGGACTAACAAAACCAGTAGAAAAAAGGGTGCTCAGGAATGTCATGTTGTATAAATTACCTAGACCCTAGAAAAATAAGCCGTTGAGAGATTATACTTGTATACACTGAGATCAAGAAGGTCAAGAGGTATCCCAAGATCTGGCTCAACATATAGTTGAGGTTTATACATTTTCTCCAAAGATGTGATTGTGTACTTAGTAAATCTGCAAATAAGAACACTGACATTGACTATAATAGTTTCATATAGAAGTACAGCATGATATCCAAGCATATCAACAGAATATTAGGTGACTGGAAATTCCGCAGCATTTTGTTCTCCTTTTTTAGACAACGCCTCGCTTGAAATCGTTTTGTCAAAAAATTCTGCATGGCAAACTTCATAAAAATCAATCATAAGCTGGTGTAAGATGGAATAGAGATCAACTTGATACAAATAAAGTCTTATCTGCTAAACACCATGAGTTCACTGCAGTTACGACATATAAGAATTACAGAAACATGCATGGTCACACTCAATAATCACATGGTTGTCAATCTATGCTCGAATAAATTCTATTAGCACATCAATGCTTTCTTTAGGTTGTCAATCTATGGAATTCTAAATTCTATTAGCACATCAATGCTTTCTTCAAAGATCAGATAGCCATATCCAATACTATAAGATATCAGCATCGTTTCAAGTTTTCCATGTGTGAATTACAAGCATATTGCTTGACTAGAGCATTAGATAACTTCGTAAAATTTATTATTTATGCTACCTGTCTCACCAATTTACCAGTGATCTTTTGACATAATTTATCATGTGCATGCTTTAAGCTTCTTCCTGTTCGTACCACCAATTTGCAGGATAAACAGGATCACAGCATTTTAGGAATCATGCAAACACTGAAGAATGCAATAGTTATTATATCCTTTCTCAAATACCAATAAACCAGATGCAATGCTTCCTACTGACACCTCTTCAACGAGATTCTTCCTTTTGAATAATTGTGATAATATATTTTGTGAATACAAAGCTAAATTAGGCTCACTCCAAAAATTAGATAGTAACATCGGAATATTTGTTGTATGCGTGTTGTTTTTTTTTTGTTTTTTTTTTTTGGGGGGGGGGGTGTTTAAGAGAAACAGTGGAATGACTGCAATCTAAATTCCATACAAGCCTCATCTAATGTAAATAAACTTACACAAGAGTTAAGAAATTAGTCCCCTTCCTCAACACTCTCCTTGAGGGGGAACAGATATCTATCACGTCCACCTTCTTGGCATGCCTCAACTTAAACTTTCCTGCTAAAATTCTTAAATGCACATGCATAAAAACCTCATGCTACATGCACATACCGATCTTTCTCTCTCTTTAAAGGCATCAGCTTCGGTTGAGCACTAGGATCAGGAAGTTCATTCCAGAATCTTCAAATAGCAAGCAAGCAAAAATAACATCAGTCCTGGAAATACGCAAAGTGAATTTCAGTTTAAAAGAAGAAAAAACTAGCATGTACAACAAACTTTACTTGCCAGTCATATGGATAGCGTGTCTAGAGTATTAAATAATACACATACTAGAAATCGGTCACAGGATCCAAAAATGAAGAAAAATAAAATACACCCCCATGCTGGCATGAGATAACATAGGTTTCCCAAATTGGAAAAATGGGTTTAAAGGCATGGTAGAACAAGAAAAATGGGCAAAGGAGAAACTTCAAAATTTGCAAGGAGAGCCTACCTAATCCACACAACTAAGTTAGCAACAGATTCAAGGCTCCCATAGCAAATAGAAGTGGTTTTCAGATGACACCCAATTAATTTTCCTTATTTAATATCTTGAGATATTGGTGTCCCTCTCTGTATACTGGAACACCCATATAGTACAGCATGATATCCAAGCATATTGACAGAATATGAGGATCATAGATGTCAAGCATGCACAAGAAATTACCAAATCAATAACAGAAAACCTATCACACAATAATAAAATACCCGCTGTCTTGCAAATTTGCAATACAGTTTGTTTACTTTTCAGTAAGTTAGATTATGGTACGCTGCAGCATTTGGTCCTCCTAATATCTTTGAACATTCATTTCATGACTTAATTTAATATAATTCAGTTTTGAGATTCTAAAAGTTCATAAGAAACCCATCACCAGTTTCCAGCAAAGTAATAATGTCATTAGTTAATACAAAAGAAAGCTGACATGTATAATGAAGAAAGAAAACTGTCGATCCTTAGGTTTAAAATCAATGTTGCTGCTGCTAAGTTCCGAAGGGTAGAAACATTATGAAAGACAACAGGAAATCAATATCATAGAAGCAGAGTTTGATGTTGATAAATTGCTGTGATACATCATGCATTGGTGCAAGTCCCAGCAACACCTAATTTACAAGAAAATAAAAAACAAAGTAAAAAAAATTCAAGCATAAACCTGAGCCCCGAAAAGACATAACATCAAACCACATTAATTGATCTACCAGAGTTAATAATAGTTTTAAAAGTGATAACTGGAGGGCTAAAGGACCAACTAGTTAAAGATTATTTTCATGAAGAAGCCTAAGTGTTTCAGTCAATTTCTGTCAAAACAACAATAGCAGGCTGGAGACTTCACTAATAAAAGCAGGCTCAGGCACATTGGATGGACTACAGATTTTGTCGTTATTCTGATTTAGGACAAGAAGAATCATTCGTGACTATTCAAACTTAATTCAGCGTACTCACTTCAACTTGCACAAGAAGGTCGTTGGCTTCTTCAACCTATTCTCAGCCCTCTCCTCACCCAAAAATGGAGTTGCCACCCTATCTCCTGTTGGGGAATCTTACCAGTGATATATTAATATTTACTCATAAGAGGCTAAGCACACTGACACAATATTTAACGTGGTTCGGCAAATCACCTACATTCACAAGAGAGTTGATATTATTAGAGATATAGAAAGAATACAAAACAAATACATGGAAGAGGAGAATTATATCCACTCACACTCAACTCCCAGCTCACTATTGTAATGGCAGCAGGGCTGCTGCCCTTAGTAGCTCTCTCTTTCTCTCTTCACTCTTCTCTTCACTCCTAACACACTCACTCTCACATTTTACTCTTAAACAATGCCTCTATTTATAGGCATCAATGGTAAGACAAGATCCACAAATCATGGCATGATTTGTGGCACTAATGGTGGCAACACATGGGTTGCACCATTTTTGTCAATGGTGATGCAACATGGCTACACTCCTACTATTGTAGGCTTTTGATAATGACAACCCTACTTCTTAGGGTAGGTTGCAAATGATTGTTAC